AGATATTCAGAACTTATAAAAATTGAGAAAATTAAAAAGATAATAAGTAAGAAAATAGGAGGGAGATTCCAATCAAATCTGAATAAAATACCATAAAATAGTAGAATATGATAATAATAATAATGATAGTAGGCAAACAAATAAACAAAATAAAACAAAACACCTGTTCAAAAATATGTAAAAACCAGGTGCGCGAAGGGCATCGACCGTGAGCAAGAACAACAGCAACAGCGGCAAGCCAACGAGGGTCAGGACAGACCATGGCAAGCCGGGGCAAGCCAGGGCAACCTAGCGCAGAAAGTGAGACCAAGTCCGAGCAGGACATGGCAAGCCAGCGTATCCGAGAAGAGGCTAAGGCAAGGCGAGAGCAGGCCAGGGCAAGCTAACGCAGGCGAGAGCAGGCCAGGGCAGGCCATGCAGGCAGGATATCGGGCGCAGAGACGTCGCGAGGTGGTAAAGCCCCCGAAGGCCGGCCTCGGGCAACCCCACAAGAGGCTAGATACCAACCCTCAATTCTGCAATAATAAACTAACGAGCAACCCCTTTCCTTTGCGGCCGCCGCTTGCTACGAGGCGGGCAGAGCACGGCTGAGATTTCTCTCGTCCCTGCATCGTGGAAATGCAGTGTCTGTTGGGGATGTGGAAGAAAACGGTGAAAGGAATCGAAGAAGAAAACGAGAAAGGGGGAAAGAAATAGAAGAGACATCTCCATTTGTTGGCTGTTTAAGGTTCTAAATTAAAAATAAAGATAATGATGATATAATAATAATCATCATGATAATGATACTGATAAGTCTAATAACAGTGATGATAATGGTAACAACAACAACAACAGGGATAACGAAATGAAAACAGCGTCATCCGAATTCAAAGACATTAAGCTCTAAAAAAGGAGAATAAATCCAATGTCCTTTGTCCACCGGCGTGTCACACAGCCAACAAGGGCGCTCCTTTGCCACCGAGGGTCAAAGACGCCGTGGTCATCAGTCATGAGAACGAAGACCCTTTAAAATGTCTTCCATCCCCCTTCTCCTCCTTCTCTTTTCCCTTTCCATACCTTCCTCGTGCTTCCCTTCTCCCTCCGCCATCCCTTCTCCCCCCATTCTTTCCTCACCTTCCCCTCTCCCCACCTATCCCTTCTTCCCTTCCCCTCTCTCTCACTCCCTTCCTCCCCTTCCTTCTCCCCATCTATCCCTTCCTCCCTTCCCCTCTCTCTCTCTCCCTTCCCTTCTCCCCACCTATCCCTTCCTCCCTTCCCCTCTCTCTCTCTCCCTTCCTCCCTTCTTCTCTTCCCCCCCCCCCCGCCTCTCTCTCTCTCTCTCTCTCTTTCGTAGCGTCTTTATGGAGGGCAGTATAATGGGATGGAACTGCAGGCCACACCCGAGGCGCTATGGGCGACGAGGGGGGAGGGGAGGGGGGGTAGATTAAAAGGGTTAAGGGGTTTGTCCCTATCCACATTTTTATCCGTTTATCACTTCTCTTTTTATTCGGTTTTCACTTTGTTTCTTTGTCTGTGTCTGACAGTCTTTGTTTTTCTCACTCTTTCAAATACGTATAGATAAATAAATATACGTATATATGATACTGAAATTAAAAGGGTAAAAAAATATGAAAATTAAAAACAAATGAGAGGCGAATATAAAGTAAAAACATAAAAGGTAGAAGTGAGGAAAAACTGAAATAGAATAAAACGACGTAAAACAAAGACAAAAAAAGATAGAGGAAGCAAAACGCACATGATAAAATTGGAGTAAACAAAATAAAATAAAATATGAGACGCAGAACTAATACAAATAAATAAATAAATAAAGATAAAGAATATGAAAGTTCCAAAGACCAAGAAAAACAAACACAGAAGATGAGGTAAAAGAGACAAAAGATTAAACAAATAAATAAATAAATAACCGACGAGAGTTCAAAAAGAAAACGGAAAGAAAACGAGTCTACCCGGCGCGTGTCTCGAGCTAGCGACGCGTGCCCCGTTCGCTCGTGACGACCCTCACTGAATTCGAATTTGAATTTAAATGCCCGCTGTGCCTGTGAATGATTTTTTAAAAATTCACTAATTAATTTATTTTGTTTACTTATTTGTTATTTATTATAATTTTTTTTTTTTTTTTTTTTTTTTTTTTGGTTTTTTTTGGAGCGCGTGGCGTGTTTTATGAATGCGTGATTTTGAGTTTGAGTTTTAGTTGCACATTGGTAGGTTTGGGGTTGGGTTGGGTGCGCGAATGGGAGAGGGAGGCACAGGGTGGAAGGAGAGTTGGAAGAGAGAGAGAATCGAGAACGGAAGAGTGTTAGGAAATGAAAAGAGAGCGGGGAAGCAGAAGTGGAGGAGAGAGGATGAGGAAAAGAAGAGAGGAGAAGGAGGAGGAAAAGGAGATGGAGTGGAGGAGAAAAAGGAGATGGAGGAGAGGAAGAGGAGAAGAAGGAGGGAGGAGAAAGAGGAGAGGAAGAAGGAAGAAAAGAAGAGGAGGAGGACAGGAGAAGAAAAGAAAAGA